CCTTCATGAGAAGTTATGCCAAAAAATATCTAAGTTAAATTTTAGAAAATCAAATCCAGCACTGTATAAAAGGATCATGATCAAGCGGGGTTTGTTCAAGGAATGCAAGGATGGTTGAATATTCTCAAATAAATCAACATCTGGTTCTGCAAGGAAATGAGCTTGGATGTCACCACTCCAGGTTGTAAAAAGCCCAACAGATAGAAAAATCAACAACTCTTCTAGGATCTGTAAGAGAAATGAGGACACAGGGCAAACTGTTGTCCCCCAAGTTAGAGAGTCCGAGAGGTAAATACAGAGAATAACAACTTACCGGAGCAGAGACCCACACGTAGAAACCGTATCAGGAACCAGTGCTGGGGTAAAAAAGCCAGATGTGTAATTGACAAATTTCTAGAGGCTCAGTGTGGACGAATCTGAGAGTTAATGGTTCCAGGGGGACCCAGTCATGGGGAGGGGCACAGGTTTGTGAGCTTTACTTCCAGGAGCCCAGCCTGGTTCCCACAGTAAATATCAGCGTAAAACTTCCTTGTGCTTCTGGCAGGCGGAGGAGGAAAAGGACCATTTACAAAGGTGCTGGAACACTCTGTTCTTCTTAACCAAGGCCTGCTCTCTGGAGAAACTAGTTAACCAGAGCTTAATGCTGGAGGTTTTATCAGAGCCCAGTTGACCTGGGGAAGGGAACTCCAGTCTGGTCTAATCATCTTCTCCCATCTAAGGTAGAGGAGGAGGGAATTTAAAACACTTGTGAAATTCACAGTCTAGAGACATAGACTCACTGAAAGACCAAGACCTGATCGAAGGACTGCAGAAGGCATCCCCTCCCCGCATGCCTCAGTGCCACATCGTGGCCTGTTTACAGCAGTTCTTTTTACCCAGGTCATCGTGTCTTGGGTATCAAGAAAAAATTACAACGCACACCAAAAGGTAAAAAACACTATTTGAAGAGACAGAGCAAGCATCAGAACCAGACATGGCAGAGATGTTGGAATGATCAGAGCAGGAATTTGAAACAATTCATATGCTGAGATCTCTAATGAATAAAGTAGGCAGCATATAAGAATAGGTGGGCGAGAAAGCAGAGTGATGGAAACCCTAAGACCCAGGAAGAGATTCCAGGGATCAGAAACACTGTGACAGAAATGAAGAATGCCTTTGATGGACTCATTAGTAGACTGGACATGGCTGAGGAAAGAATCTCTAACTACAGGAACAGAAGAAATATTTTCTTCTGAGAATCGCTCCCAAATTAATGTCAGACACCAAACCATAGATCCAGAAAACTCAGGGGACTCTTGTAGGATAAATAGAATAAATGCAAAACAAACAAAACCTACACCAGAAATTGACACAACATTGTAAACCGACAAAATTTCAACAAAAATATATTTTAAAAGATTGTAACCACAACCAAGATAGTGAACATACCCAACACCTGTAAAAAACAAACACCTGACCTATACCTACGTGTATTATTTTCAAATTACATAAAATCAAAGATAAAGAGAAACATTCTGAAAAATGCCAGAGGCTTTTTCACCTGTAGAAAAACAAAAACAAGAATTATGCCTGACTTCAGAAACCCTGCAAGCAAGAAGAAAATGGAATGAAAGAGGTAAAGTGCCAAACAAAGAAACCAAAAAACCCCACCAACCTAGAATTCTGTACCCTGTGAAATTACCCTTCAGAAGTGAAGGAGAAATAAAGACTTTCTCAGAAAAACAAAAGCTGGGGGCACCGGTTTCTTGTAGACCTACCTCGCAAGAAGTGTTGAAAGAAATTCTTCGGAGAGAAGGGAAAATAATGGAGGCCAGAGCGTCAAACCTGTAGAAAGAAATGAAGTGTCGAAGAAGGATTAAGTGAAGTAAAAACTTTCATTTTTCTTACTGTAGTTGATCCAGCAGATAAGCGTTTGTCCAGAATAACAGTAACAATATATTCAGTTACTGATGTTTACGGATCTGTGCGTAAATATTCTTAGGCATATAAGCCACCACCCAGCCCTACCCCAAACCATAATGATAGAAGGGACAGAAGGGAAGAACTAAGACTGTTCTGTTATTATAAGGTCTCATACTACCTGCCAAGTGGCATTGTATCATTTAAAAGTGGAATTGTGTTCGTTGTACAGGTACACTGCAAATTCTAGGATAACCACTAAAAAAAGGAGAAGAAGAAGCAAAACTGATACGCTTAGAAATAAGAAAACATCCGGTCGTATAAAATGCTCAGTGAAAACTGCGAAAGGCAGAAAAAGAGTGGAAGATGAATTTAGGGGGAAAAAAAGCATCAGGGCAATGAATATAAAACAGTAACAAGGATGGTAGGCATGGATCCAACTCTATCAATGGTCTAAAGGCACCAGTGGAGAGAGCGTCAGAGTGGATGGAAAAGTCACAACCCCACCATCTGTTGTCTACAAGAAACCCACTTTAACCATGAAGACACATACAGATGAGAAGTAAGTGGACGGGAAACACAGACATCACGCTGACACCAATCAGAAGGAAGCAGGAGTAGTTATAAGGATGTCAGACAGACAGAGTACAAAGCAGCGTGAGGAAACCTGTCAGGGATGATGAGAGACCTTCTTTTTTTCACGGCGGTGGTGGTTTCATGGGTGTATACCTGTATCCGAGCTGATCGAATCATCTTCCTTCAATATATGCAACTCACTGTTCGCCAGCTATACCTCCCTGAAGCTGCCTTTAAAAGATATTGGTGGCAAAATCTAGTGAAGGAACTACTCTTACTGTGTGCCTGGAGTGAGCTGCAGAATCTCTAGTTTCCTAGTGTATGAAGTAGGAATAACGTCGTTGTGGCAATTAAACACAACCGGCAGGATACATTTTATACAAAAGAGAGCTCAATTAGTAATGGAAATCGGAGACCAAAGCTTTGAAGAATACTAGCAAAAAGAAGGAGATCTACGTGTCTCTAAACTGCTCTGCTCACGTGTACCTGGAGAGATCTCTGTGGAGGGTGGGAAAGCCATTGCCCTGGGTCCCGGTTGGGGCAGTTTCACACGCAGTGACTTGGTGTGACTGTCATGCGGAGATCTGATCCACCCAATTCCCTACCCTCCCTCCTCCTCTTTGTACCTCCTCCTTTGGCCAGAGCTGAAGGGGTCCATGGTCTCTTCCTCCTTTCCCTAATTGTGGGACTTGCAGAGACCCACCGGGAGGACAGCTCTCCCGGAAGATTACGAGGGAGAATGCGTGTCAAGCACGCAGCCTGTGCCTTGGCACACTGAAGGCGGGTCATCGTTAGCAGCTGTGGGCTTACTACCCAGAGGGGCGGTCATCTGGCTCCGTGTCCCCTGCACGCCTGAAGGCAGACGTGACCCCGGTCCTAGGACTTTATAGTCACGTGAACCAGCTCAGGGTATAGGACAGGCTCAAAGATGGGGGAGCGCAGGCGAGCTGCAGTCATGGGAAACATCGTGAAAGGACGGAGAGACCTGTCCTGCGTGTGTCTGTGTCAGTGTCTGTGTTTGTGTGAGTTTGTGTGTGTCTGTGTATGTCTGTGTTTGTGTTTTGTGTGAGTTTGTGTGTTTGTGTGTCTGTGTGTATTTGTGTGTGTTTGTAATCCCCACCCTTTAGCACATACGGTACCTGGCACAGAAGCGGGCCTCGGTGAATACTTTGTGGTTGAAGAACTGCGTGCATGAGGAGAGCTGAGTCCTGTCGAAGGTGGAGGAGGTGGGAGGGCAGGAGCGGAGGCCCAGCTGGGAGAGAGGTGAAGTCTGGACCAGGAGGTGGGGTGGCAGTGAGAGGTGAAGTCTGGACGCTGGGCTGGGGCCTCACTGGACAGCAGGAAGGTCCCTCAGGACCCTGCAGGGGCAGCCATGCCCACGCCTGGGGCCCTGTGGGCTCTGCTGGGTCTTCAGAGGTTGTGAGCACGCACCTGCCCCAGATCCCCAGAGCAGCTGGGCTGAGTGGAGGACCTTCTAGGCCTTCCCCTGCCCACAGATTGGCACCTGCTCCGAAGGGGAGGCAGAGGCCCTCTTCCCTTGTTGCAAGGCACCTCCCCACCCCGGCCTCTGGAGGAGAGGAACCCCCCGTAACACAGAGATCCGCGCACTTACACCTGCCCTTCCCTTAGCTCCCTCATCCCGTCTGCACACCAGAGCCGACCAGGAAACCATCAGGGACTCGCATCCGAGCCCACCTACACGGAACAGGCGTGGGGGCCGGCTGTGCCCACCACAGGGCTGTGCATTAGGGGCCTGAGCCCACCCCGCCCGCCTCACGGCTGACCTGGCGCTGGGTGAGCGGTGGGTCAGGAGGTCCAGGCAGAGTTATGGGCCACAGCAGTTGTGCCTGGGTCCTCGCGTGCCCTCTGACCTGGCCTCCCTCCTGTTAGGAGCCCTGAGAGCCCTCCCTCCTGCCATTTCAGATCATACAGTTCCTGGAACCCATACGCCACCTGCAGAAAAGTAAATTCATGCAACCTAGCGGTTTCCCGTTTGACCGCCGCCCCGAGGTCCGCGGATGCGCGGTGTGCTTGCCAGACCTCCCAGGGCTTGGTCACCGACCCCGGTTCTGGGGCTGCTCCCTCCTTGGCAGTGTATCCCTAACAGAGCCCGCCAGGGCTGTGCCTAAGGGATGTCAGAGCAAAGAAGGAGCAGGCCTGCCTTCTGCCGGGCCGCCAGCAGTGGGCGCTCCCCTGGTTGTGGACGGGTGGAACTCAAGCCCTCGGATCAAGGCTCCTTGATCTGTGCTCTGGACTGGAAGAGAAAGCGTTCCAACCTCTTCTCTTGGCGTCCAGCCAAGGCACACCCTCCCTACCCCCATCCCTGGCTGCCCCCCACCTTCCTCCCACCCACCCCCAGAGCCTTGTTCTCTTGCTCAGGTGCCTGGGCAGCAGCCACAAGGCTTGGGGAGCCCCTGGCCCGGAATGTGCATGCCCGTCCGTGGCCACGCCTGCGGGGCCCTGCACGTCCGCGTGTGCGATGGAACTTGCCGCCGGAGCATGTCGCCCTCTGTCTGCCCCTCCAGGTTACTCCTCGCTGCAGGACGAGCTGCTGTCCCCCGCCTCCCTGCACTACGCGCTTCCCTCTCCGCTGCGCGCAGACCAGTACTGGAGCGAGGTGGCCGCCGTCATAGACGCCATCCCCTTGGCGGCCACGGAGCATGACGCCATGCTGGAGATGTCTGACATCCAGGTGTGGTCCGCGGGCCTCACGCCCTCCCTGGTCACTGCTGAGGACTCCTCTCTGGAGTGCAGCAAGGCCGAGGACTCGGACGCCACTGGCCACGAGTGGAAGCTGGAGGGGGCGCTCTCCGAGGGACCCCAGGGCCCCGCGCTGGGCTCTCTGGACCTCGTGGAGGACGACACGGTGGATTCAGATGCCACAAATGGCCTTATCGATTTGCTTGAGCAAGAGGAAGGTCAGAGGTCAGAGGAGAAGCTGCCGAGTCATGAGAGGCAGGAGGACTCGACAGGTGCAGGGCAGGATTCAGAGAATGAAGTGTCTCTTGTTTCAGGGCAGCAGAGGGTACAAGCCCGCATCACAGAATCCCCCACCGTGAGTCGGGTGACGGACTCGAGCCAGGACAGGTAAGGGCGGGGCTGCCGTGCGGGAGGCCTTGCATCCTGGGCCTCCGGGTGAGACTGTGCCTGGCAGTGGGAGGGCAGCGGGACCCCCTGGGAGCTGCTGCCCCCCGCCCCGTCCACTCTGCGTTCTAAATGCCTAGGAGCAAATAAATTCAGTAGTTCTGCCCAGCCAGCACTCAGGCCTCTGTCTTGTGAGATTAGAGCTGTGTCTGCAAAGGCGAGTCCCTCCGCTGGACTCCCCTCCCCGGGTGCGGCCAGCAGGAGAGAGGCTGAGGGCGTGGGACGGGCGAGAGCATCTTTGGGAGAGAGATTCTAAAGCCGGGGGAAACCATGTCTCTCAAGGGCACCCGAGCCCGGTGCCCTGGGCCTCGTGGCTGTTGTGTGTTGAGTGTTGAAGACTGAATTTGGAAACCTGGAAGCCTCAGGTCTCAGGCAAGCGGTCACACGACCCGCGTGTGACAGAGCTGATAAGGGTGTCCTTTCTGCTAATACGTCTTTGCAAGAGTGAGGCTGGTGGGCTTATCTGGGGCAGCACAGAACTTCAGCTGTGAAAGGTGGTTGTTTCCCGGCTAGCTCGTCCCCATGCTCCCGGGGACGAGAGGGCCTGGGACTGCCAGCAGCAGGGAGACAGAAGGGCCTTACGCCCCTCTGTAGACACAGAGCCCCCAGGCCACAGGCCCGACACACGTCCGTGCAGTGGACGCCCGCCATGCCCCGTCGCTGTGAGTGCAGAGGAGGGCTTGGGGTCAGGCAGACAGACAGACGTGTGACACGTATCACTTTGGCCTCTGGGACTGGCACAGGAAGTGAATGACAGGCTCTTTCCTCTGTGTGGCTTTGCTGCCTCAGGTTCCCTAAAGCAAGGGGTTAGTTTCCGGACTCCCAGAAGGCCGTGGCCACCCGTGGAGCTCAGGCCAGGCCGTGGGAAGTCTGTCCTCATTACCTCTTCCCACCCGAGTCGTCCTCCCAGAACCCCGGGCAGACCGGCCCTCCCCCAGGCTCTGCTCAGTGTGGCCTGAATCCCATAGCACGAGGGAGAAGGAAGTCGCTTGGGAGACGAGACAGCCAGGATCCCTTTCCTGTCCCTTTGATGGGCAGGGGAAGCTGGGCAGACTGAGCCTGTGAGGATTGAAAGTGAAGTGCCGGCCTTCCTGGGAGAGTCTTCCAACCACCTGTGATGGCCGTTCATGCACCAGGCACGGGTTGGATGCTTCTGCGTGCTGGCCACTGCACCACTGGGACAGCAAGGTCACTAGATGGGTACCCGAGGCCTGGGTGCTGGGCCTGGGGATGGAACAGGCTCGCTCAGGGACCTGGGTCAGCCCTCCAGTGGGGACAGACGAATTTTATTCACTCAGCAGTGGATGTTGAGCACATGCTGTGTTCCAGGCCACTGTATAAGGTCCCTCGGTGCTGGGGACTGGCTTTGAGCACAATGGACAAGTCTCTACTATGAGAAGTTTATGTTCTTGTGGGGAAACTGACATTAAACAGGTAAAACCAATGGAATTAAAAGTAACTAAAAGAGAAATGCTAATTAATAAGTACTAAATAGAAAAATAAAACAGGGAAGGGGGTGGTTGAAATTATACGGGGGTGGGTGGCCAGGGGCACCTGCCAGAGTGCTGTGGAGGAAAGATTTAAAGGCATTCAGGCGATGGGCTATGCGAGCACCTGCGGGGACATGCCAACAGGAGGCCCCCCACTGCAAAGGCTTTGAAGCAGAGTGTGCCGGGCACATTCGAGGAGCAGCGAGAAGGTCTCTGCCTGGAGCAGAGTGATCATGGGAGACATGGTCAGGGAGGTGATGGGGCTGGACAGGTCAGGCCGTGGGTCCCAGGAAGACTTCCGCATTTCCTGGGTTGGGCAGAGAGGCCACTGGAGGGTTTTGAGCAGAGGAGCGGGGTGATCTGGACACTGCCGGGCTTGGCCCGGGGGAGAGGCGGGGAGGTGAGCTGGAGGCAGGAGTTGATGATAATGTGGACCAAGATGGTGGCAGTTTGGTGGCAAGATGTGGTCCTTCCTGTCCAGGATGTATCTTTGAGAGTTGAACCAAAAGGGTTTGCTGACAAATAAGAGGGTGAGAGAAATGGAGGAGTCCCAGGGGACCCTGGTACCCTTGACCTGATGAGGATGCCGTGTCCTACAGTGGGAAGATGGGTGGATCAGGTGTGGGGAGAAGACCCTGCGTGTGGACTTGACCGTGCTGGCCCTGAGATGCCCATCAGAAATCCCAAGTAGAGGTGTCGAGGATGCAGCTGGGGTCGAGCTTGACAGCTCAAGGAGGAGATGCTGGAGCCCACAGCTGGGCGTGAGGAGCACGTAGATGGGTTAAAGCCATGGATTGGATTGAATGAGCTCACGTAGGAAGTGGGTGCAGACAGAGACGAGGTCTGAGAACTGAGCCAGTGTCAGATGCCAGGGAAATTAGGAGAAGCCCACAAAGAACCTTGAGGAGGAGTGGCCAGAGAGGGAGGGGAAGCGGGCAGACGTGTCCCTGGTGGCTGTGGGAGAGCCGCTTCCCGGTGTGTGCGGGGTGATCATCTTCCCAGCTGAGCCCTGGGATGCAGACTGCTGGGTGGGAATGACCTGGAGGGATGGAGGAAGGTGGGTGAGGCGATGGTGTGGGCACCTGGATGGCTGGACCATCAGTGTGAGCCACGTGCATTGGGAGCCCGGAGTGCAAAGCTGTCCACTCGAAGGGCGGGACCAGTGGCACTAGTGTCCGTGGCTCTCTCACCGGGACAGCTGGGAAGGCCCACGTGTGCCTCTCTGGACAGGGCACTGTGTGGTCACTCAGTCTCCTGTCCCTCTGGTGGGCCGTAGAGGCCACATCGTGGATGGGCCAGGACTCTGAGAGCGGAGGCTGGGAATGACTGGTGTCCTTTCTCCCCTCCTGCGTCCCAGGCTGCAGGACTGGGATGCCGAAGGCTCCATCGTCTCCTACCTACAAGAGGCCACCCAAGGCTCCTGGCCAGAGGAGGTCCCGCGAGGCCCGCACTCATTCCAGAGAAGGGTCAGCGCCGTCGGAGGCCTGGAGCCCAGCAGGTCCCAGGAGGACGAGGAGGACCTGGCGTCTGCAACCGAGCACGTGCGGGTGAAGCAGCCCCAGGCCGACAGCCCCCGGGCTGGCAGGGAACAGAGCCGACAGAGCCCCAGAGAGCGGCTGCAGGAGGCTGACAGCGCCTCCTCCCACGTGGCGCAGGTGAGAGGCCGCAGGGAGGCCCCGCTGAGCCGGCTGCAGCCTGCGGGGTCCAGGCCCGGGGCAGCCGCTGCCTCACTCAAGCCCTGAGCGGGCTTGTTTTCCATCCTTAAAAACTGTGGCCGTGGCTTCTCTTTCTCTCTGTCCACTCATCTGCCTCCTTGATGCCCGCGGATGGAGGGGAGGGGCTCCCACTGATGGAGTCCAGACACTTCCAGGCTGCACCCCCGACCCACCCCCCACGACCGGCCCTCAGCTGGTACTCCAGCTTGTCCAAGGTCACAGGGTCGGAGGTGGGCTTGGCGTTCGGCGTGGCCGACTCCAAAGCCGTAGTTTTGTTTGTTTCTTTCTCCACCGTGTTTTAGGAAGAAGGGCTTAGAACGCACAGACCTGGGCATTGGGCTCACTCGGGTCCCACCGGGTCTGTGGGGCTGAGGATGGGCCACTGTCCTCTTGGCCTCTGGGCTTCCTCTTGTAAACGAGGTAGATAATGGGTTCTGGCCAGGGCTCGCCCGGGAACCCCTTGCCCATGTGGGGGGGCTTCCCGCAGGCTGAGGTACAGGGCACATCCCTGCACTGGCGCCGGCCACCCTTCAGTTCTCTCTACTTTACTGATTTTATTTATTCGCTTTTATCCTCACTCTCTGTTCCCATAGACATCATTTTAATGTGTTTTTTGAAATTTTTTAATGATGAAAAATTACAAATAGATACCAAAACAGACCAGCCTCCACCACTGCCCACTCACCACCCATCTGGTTTCATCTGCCTCCTCCCATCCCCTGTTACTCCCCATATTATCTTTTTTCTTTTAGAATTAAAAGAATTTTTTAAATTTTGTGAGGGAGGCAATTAGGTTGATCGATTGATTGATTTTAAGGGAGGGTCTGGGGATTGAACCCAGGACCTCGTGCGTGCTAAGCACGCACTCTACCACTGAGCTATACCCTGCCCCACATTATCTTGAAGCTAATCCCAGGCATCTTGTGAATGCATCTTTTTAATTTGTGCGTTTTTATAAAGTTGGAGTTGCTGCCCTGTGCGCGGGTGGGTTTAACGTGGACATAACGACATGTTCCGTGAATCCCTGCTTTCTTCTCCTCCGTCACCCCCGATTCCCCCCACCCCTCATCCTCAGCCGCCACCTTCTCCTCCTCCCAGGCTCCCGTCTGAGCCTGAGACTCCAGGCACCTCTGAGACCCCAGGACCAGGCTGATCCTGCACTACTGGCTGACAAGAGCCGCCAGGAATTAAACAGGGTTTTATTTAGAAAGGTTCCCTGCCAAATATGTGCCTCGGGCGGCCAGGCGACCATGTCCATTTTTAACCCCAGGCCACCCCATATGTTCTTGGCCAGCGGGCTTCTCTGTGGCACCCAATTCTGGTAATTCCAATAGCCAACGCTTGTCCCAGAACACAGATGCCCTCCCCAGGGCCGGTGCCCCGAGTCCTAGGGAAGGACAGGGACTCTGGGGGCAACTCTGGTCCAGGGAGGATGGGAGAGGACGCAGGATCACCCCAGGGGATCCCAAGAGAAACCATGCAGGTCGTTCGGTCTGGCTGCCTTGTTTACAGATGAGGAAACTGAGGCCCAAGGAGGCCAACGTCAGGGCCGGGGGAGTCCAGGACCTCTGATTCCCAGTCCCAGTGCGTGTGCAGGGCCGCCGCACCCTCCTGGTCCAGGAGCGGATGGGAGGGCGGGTGAGCCGTTTCTTAACCATCTGTCGGCCCCCCGGGGATGATAATGAGGCCTGTTTAAGGTGACAGTTTGCAAAGCACCTGTTTACTAGTGTTTCCAGTGAGTCTCAAAAACCACACAGAGAGAGAAGTGCGGGCGCCTTGTGACTGAGGTCTGGGGGGCAGGCCCGAACCTGCCAGGCGGCCAGTCCCTCTGTGTGGCCCTAGTGGGGCGTGTCTGAGCTGGGATGCTCTCCTGCCCCCCCTTGCATGAGCGGCTTCTGTGTTACCTCGTTGAGAAGAGGTGGAACTGCGCCGTGATCAGAGTTGGAAACGTGACTCTCGCTCCCTTACTGTTTCACATAGACAGGTGTCTCAACCTCTCTGTGCCTCTGTTTCCTTTGTGGGAAAGGGGAAAACAGTTGACCCAATGGCTGGGTCGCTGCAGGCGTAACTGTGTGAAACACACACAGAGCCTCCCCTGGGAGGAATTGGCTGTCACCACCATAACGGTGGGTCACCAGCCCTGCGACCCTCCCAGCCCTCTCGGGAACCGGAGGACAGCTCCTGAACCCACCCCCATTTGATGAATGGAGAAACCGAGGCCCAGAGAAGGTGCCTCACTTCCCTGAGTGGCACAGCGAGCAGGCTGCAGGGTCGGCGTGCCGGGTCCAGATCCTCGATCTTTCTGCCACGTGGGTGGCGGCCCAGAGAGGAACAGCCTGATCCCAACAGAGGAATTCCTTTTGGCCGCAGCGGCTGCGGCTGCATTAGTGAGTCAGCCCTGCAAAGGCGAGTTTAATGCCCGTGGTTCCTGCCCCTGGCGTTGACGGCCGGGCATGAGAAGAGCCTTTAAGGACAGACCTTAACTAGACACACCAGTGCCGTGGTTATGTTCAAGGTTGCTGTGCTGGGTGAGGGGGACCGAGGGCTGTGGGGCTGTTGGAATTGCACGGGCGTCCAGGGGTCTCACCACCTGTGCTGGACGCCATGGAGCTCGTTTGGCTGGACCCGAGCAAATCACTCACCCGGGGCTATTTTTGAAACAAACTCTGAACCCTCCAGGGTGTTAGCCGGTACCACCCCACGAGCGGGTGACATTATTCTGATCATAGCGGTGGCAGCCCAGGGAACACACATGTAGCCATGTCCTCCAGGCGTCTTACTGTCTTGAGTCCTAAGCAAGACAGTTTTCCTGCCTCTGGTTGGCACGGGGGCGCGCAGGCCTCCTGCAAGCTCTTGGGGGCGGGTGTCACACAGTGACTTTAACACACGCCTCTGGGGCCCAGGACACGCACACCTGCCGGCTTCCTTCTGGCGCCGTCGGACAGCCCAGCAGCTGGTCTCCAAGCTAAAATTACTGGAGCCTGACGTCACTCAGCCAGGGCAGAGCCGGGGCTCTGAGCAGGAGGGCACTCGGGCAGCAGTTCCAGTGGGGACCCTGCAGCTGCCCGCCCCGGGGGGAGAATGCAAGGGGTCCCGGGGGGCCTCCGGAGTCCCAGAGGAGAATGAGAGGCCGGACCCCTGCCCCCCCCTGGCCCCAGAGGGCCGGGCTGGTGAGGAGGTGAGGATGTGGACGTTCGTCACCCAGCTCCTGGTCACCCTGGTGCTCCTGGGCTTCTTCCTGGTCAGCTGTCAGAACGTCATGCACATCGTGCGGGGCTCCTTGTGCTTTGTGCTGAAGCGCATCCACCAGGAGCTGGACAAGGAGCTGGGGGAGAGCGAGGGCCTGAGTGACGACGAGGAGACCTTCTCCACCAGGGTGGTCCGGCGCCGGGTCCTCCTGAAGGTAACCCAGGCGGGGGCGGGCCGGGCCGAGTGCGCCGTGCCCGGTGTGTGGGGCCGTGGATGCGCAGTCGGGACGCCCGCTGGAAGAGGAGGGCCAGGTGGGCCTCGGGGGTGGGAGGCGCTGGGAGCCAGAGCTGTGTGGCACTCACTCGGACCCCCCACCCCACGCGATGGCAGGGAAAGCTCGCCTTTGGGACTTAGGAGGCCGGCCCTCCTCCTGCTGCTGTCCCAACCAGCTCAGTGAAGCGGGCAGGTCACCCTCGGGGCAATGGCAGACGGGTGTTCTTCCCTGTAAAGTGCTGTAGGACTATAAATCAGGCGCCTCGCTGCCTCTCAGGACCTCCTTGTACCACCTGCACCATCACCCCGACTTTGCCCACTCCCGGGGCTCAGGCGGGGATCGAGCCCACACCTTCCTACACACTCGAGGCTCCGTCCTGTCCTCCAGTGCAGGGCCCCACCGGGTGCTCCGGCTCTGAGAGCCCTTGGTTTGGCGGCCGCTACTTGCTGAGTCGGCATTCCCTGCCACGGTGGGGGCTTGTCAGACTGGGGCAGCAACTGCTACTGCTTTATTTCCTCCTCCTCCTCCATCCTTCCCCCTAATTCCCACTTATCAATCCTGCATGTTCTCCGTTCCTCTAATTCCAGGAGAATGAGCTTCAGAATATTCCAGGAGAGCAGGTGACAGAGGAGCATTTCACAGATGAGCAGGGCAACGTCGTCACCAAGAAGGTGGGTGCAGAGACCCCCTGAGCTGGGCAGGGGCAGGTGGGCTGAAAGAGGCTGGCAGACTCAGCTTCTCGCTGCTGCTCTGACAGAGGGGCAAACACAGCTTGGACTGGACGGTCCAGGAACCTTCCGCGGGCTGGACATGCCATTCCCCGCAGCCACTGTGCCTGATTCAGCTTGAATACAGCTCCTGCTACTGTGTCCCAGAAGGACCGGGCACAAGCCTCGTCCTGTGATGCCTGGCCCCGCAAACAGCCATAGGACAGCAGTACGGGGGTCCCCCCGATGACCATGCCTCCTAAGATGAAAAGCGTTGCGCATCGTGCTCTGTGTGGGCAGAAGGGAGACGGGAGAAAAAGGGGCGAAGGGATGACCTTGTGCGGCCCCTCTGTTCACGGCTAAGTCAGAGCAGGACCCCGCACGTCCTGTCTTTCCTCCTGCACCCGGAGCTCCGTGGGGGCGGAGGCCCCATCTTTACGCTCTCACCTCCCGCTCTTCGCACATTGGTTGGTGCAGAGCGAATAGTCCTGGAAGATCTGGTTGCATGAATAAGGGAATGAGTGGATTGATGGGACAGAAATGCGCTCCCCACCAGGAGCTCATAGTCGTAAGGGGAAGGACAGATGGCATAAACTCCCATCGCGCCAGGAGGCAGTATGGAACGCTATGGGCTAGAGAGAGAAGTCACGTGGGGATCAGACCCTGATCATCAGTGAGCCCCCAAGGCCCCCTGCAAATTCTAGCCCCTCTGAGGCTGGAGGTACGAACTCCCCACCCAGCGATGGGGTGAGAGACCATCTCTGATCTTGGCCACACAGGGCAGGGCTCCTGGGCACAAAGGCTGACTCTCCCCTAACCTCATTCCAGGACCTGCCCTTTTCAAGCTCTGTCTTGCCGGCTTTCCCAGCCCCTTCTCCCCTCCCTCTCTTTTCCAGATCATTCGCAAAGTGGTCCGCCAGATAGAGCCATCCGGAGCCGATGACACCCAGGAGCACGGGGAGGTGATTTCTGAGGGGCCCCTGGAGGACCCTAGTGAGATGGAGGCTGATATTGATTTCTTTATGCCGCACACCAAGGTACTCCCAGGTCCTCGCTCTTCCGAGTGGCCGGCTCCGTGACCTCTGCTGTCCTCTGCACCTGCTCGCCTCTCTCCAGGCTCCCCCTAGAGCCTCCTTCCCCTGGTGGCAGTGCTCCTGCCGCCTCCATAGGATGCCCTCTATTCTCTTGCTGTTTCCACCTGTCTCTCTGTATGATCTGTCCCGCCTTCTGTCTGTCCTGCTGTCTCCAGGTGGAGCTGAGAGGGAGTGGCCTGCAGCCGGACCTGATAGAGGGCAGGAAGGGGGCTCAGATAGTGAAGCGGGCCAGCCTCAAAAGGGGGAAACAGTGATCTCGAGCCCCTCCCTGTCAAATGGCCTCTTTGGAGGTAATGCCATCCTTCTCCATCTTTTCCGCCTGGCCTGGTCCTCTGAGTGGCTGCTCACTTCCGCCCCCTCCCGGCAACTTGCACTGCTCCCTGCCTCTCCTCCACCCCCAGCATGCCGCCAGAGGAACAGGCACTGCTCTGGTCCCCCAGCCTAGACCCTGCCTACTAACTGTGCCTCTGAGCTCCGCCTCCTCGTCAAGAAACAGTCACCAGTATCAGCTGACCTGCCCTCGCGGGATGCAAAATACAGATTTTTTAAAAAGTGCTTCCGCGAGTGACAAGCACTTCGTACATCTCAGTAGTAACATCATCCTGGAAACCCAGCAAGCGGGGTCTGGGGATGGCGGGACAGGGCCCAGGATAGTGCAGGACAATCTGTCTAGGCTGTGCTGTTTCAGCCCAGAAAGAGCCCAACGGTGGGACACCTGGAGCCCCGCTGTGTCTTGAAGTTGCGGAAGTCCTGGCAGCCCAAGGTTTCCATTCTCCCTGGTGTTTCTCGAAGCATGTGGCTCCTTTGCTTTCTAGGAAGAGACAAAGTTGACAGGAGGCTGGGGGGCGGCACGGCTAAGGGGCCGGGGTGTGATGTGCAGGGAGGGAGGGAGGCCGGGATAATGGGCGTCGAAGGCTTTCCAGCGGGCTGAGCAGTGCTGGGGGCTTCGGGGCCAGCTCGGACCTCCGTCCTCCCTGAGGGGTCCTGTACTGAGCTGCCCCGAGGCCCTTTGCTGTGCCCAGCTCGGGCCAGCTCAGTACCGGGCGCATCGGGGTGGGAGTCGGCCGGAAGCAGGAAGCAGGTGGCCCCAGCGCGGCGCACGCACCCGGTTGTTGCCGTTTACACCCCCAGGGCCTGGCTCTGGGCCCGGCGGCCAGCAGGCTCGCTTTCTGTGATCGGCAAGAGCAGGGCCGCCGCCTCCCGAGCTCCCAGAAGTGCTGACTCTGGGCTTCCCGACATCCCTCAGCACTGGGGCAAAAAGAGGTCTGGCCGATCTAGTTAGAGGATAAAATTAGACCTGACTTCTCAGCAGCTTAAGGAGGTCACCGTTTTAACCCCCGCACTGCTGGGGGCCCGCTGGGTGGCTGGTTCAGGACATCAGCTGAGATCGGTCCTGGGAATAATCCAAAGGTGTGCAAGTAATTTGAAAAAGCAGAGAGGGCAAGGAAAAGTACACTCTTGGGCCTTATTTTCCTTAGGGCAGCAGCAGAGGCTTCACGTTATTTGGCTTGTGTTCTGCTGATGTTCCTGGCAGCCCAGAAGCCAAGCAGAGGGGAAGGACAGAATCTAGAATTAAAAAAATTTTTTTCTATAGATCTGCAGTGTGGCTGAACCTACCCCCCTCCTCGCCCCCCACCAACAGGGGATGTGGGTCCAGACCACCCAGCGTGGGTGTCAGGAACACGGAGCAGAGCGGCCGGGCTGTAGCACAGGGCCTCTGCCAGGAGGGAAGAAGCCAGGGAAGTGTGCAGTGGTGACAGTGGGGAGGAGGCTCCTCCCTGGTCCGCAGAGCCCCAGGGGTGGCCTGCAATCCTCTACCCTCCGAGCAAGACAAAAACCAGACAAGCCAGGGAAAGGGCTGAGCGTTCACTGATCGTTCATACTAACCACCTGCCACTCACAGGCATGGCACGGCCAGTTCTCTGTGTTCATGGATTCCAAATAATTGCAAACTTGCAAATTCGCCTACTAGCTGAAATTTATCGTAACCCCCAAACCAGCACTCAGCACGCTTCCCGGATGCGCACAGGGGTGAGCAGTGTTGAATCGCCGTGCAGGCTTGTTCCTGGCTGAGGTCAAACCAGGCAACCTCCTCTCTGTCCCCCATTTCAGCTCCCGCACTAAACAAGCGTCATTGTCAGTCTACTTAGTGCCGTGTTTTGTGCATGTTTGCACATTTCGTTGGTGATTTTGGTCTTTGAAGCAGCCCCCGAGCCTAGTGCTGAAGTGCCGTCCAGGGTTGCTAAGAGCGTGGAGGCTTCACGTGCGGGCTGGATGCAGGAAATGCGTGTGTTAGAAAAGCTTCGTTCAGGCCTGGGTTCGTTACGGCACCGTTGGATGTGAGTTCAGCATTAATAAAGCAACAAGCGGCAGCTGACCCTTGAACAGAGGGTTGGGACGCAGTTGAAAGTCTGAGCACTGCTCTCTCTGTCTCAGAAATGAAGGAACTAATGAAGCTAAAACCGTTGGGACAGAATCCGGGGCTCAAACCCCAATTCTTTTGATCCTACGTGTTTGATCTCTAGTCCGTCACAAACCTTCCCCCACCCTGAGTTAAAGACCCATAAAATGAAAATTTGGGTACTATACGTACTGAAAAAAGTCCCCGTAGGAGTGGACCCGCACAATTCAAGCCCGTGTTGTTCAAGGGTCAGCTGCACGTTAAATACGTTGTCTTTGAACAGAAACACACGTAACACAAGGTTATGGCTTCACTGGTTGACAAAAATGTTGTGACCAGAGGCTGGCAGGACCCCAGTATGGTGCTTCCCTTGGGAGCAATGGTCCAGGGTTGGCTAATTCAAGGTTCCTGGTGACTTCTTTGAACGTGACTACCGGGAACAATAGAACTGACTGCTTTGGAGACAGTGAAAGCTGGGCTGGGGTCCAGGGTTGAGGCCTGGCTCCCCCGGTTTCCAGGTTGTGTTCCCTTGCACATCATTTAACTGCCTGAGCTCCCGTCTCCTTGAGGGAGGATGAACTAGTCCCTTTGAATGTGTGTCTCACTCCTGCCAAAAGGCTTACAAGTAACCATGGTAACCGTGAGAGCGGTTGTGCAGAGTAAGGTGAACAGGTGCTTCCTGGTGCTCAGCTATCTGCACGTCTCACCCGGGGTGGGTCCCTAGACCTCTTTCAGCCTCGGGGTCCTAGCTGTGAAGTGGCAATAATGCCGGTATTTCCCTTGTAGTGTGGCCACAGTGACCAATGGGTTCATGTGTGAAAGGGATTTCTAAATCGTCCAGTACTAATCCACTGATTCTCAAAATGTCATCCAGGCATCCGAGAGGCTGGTTAAAATGCAGGTGCCTGGTCCCTGCCCCAGACCTACTGAATTAAATCTCTGGAACTCGGGACTCTGCGTCAAGCTTGAGCGATCTGGATGAATACTCAAGAGTGGGTTGTTAGGGTGGGTTCCAGTTTTCCTTCCCAAACCTCCCAGAGGTGACGGGGCAAGAGTGTAGACTTGCCCCTAAACGAAGGGGAGCTGAGATGAGTGATGGTTACAGTTTGCCCAAAGCTGTGGAGCACCCCAAAGAACAGAACACCCCAATCCTAGTCGCCTGTTCTGATGCCCCCACAGTCACTTCCAACCTTGGGAAGGATTTTGCATGAGGCACGATGGGGGGAGGAGTGCTTTCCGGTCGTATTCAAGAAGCTAGAAAATTGCTGTGTAGCTGGGCCTGATCAAGGGCAGTAGCAGCTGGTGGGTTCTGCCCTGGGCCCCAGTGTAGAGGTCAAGAATTAGGGGGCCGGTGCCACCAGAAGACAGGCTGGAGCCGGCAGCCATGTGTCCCCCTGGTTAGAGAGGACCTGCCGGGCACCTGACAGCTCTGCTTTCTGGGCCTCAGAAAGCTG